CTGCCCGATTGCCCACCTACCCCAATAGGGGGTGGGGCTGGCCGACCAATCTCCCACGGTCCCTCCCCCAGCCGCTGACCCCCGATCAACCCCCCACCCCCAATCCTCCCCACCCCAATTGGGGGGCAGGACTCACTGGCCAATCGCCTGCAGCCCCTCCCCCCAGCCGGCCCAGCCCTGATCGGGCCCCTATCGGGGCGGGCCAGCCGGCCAACCTCCCACCGTCTCCTCCTCCCGATCCATTCCGATTGGGGCTGGGCTGGCCTGACCCCACCCATGCATGAATTCGTGCACTGGGCCTCTGATAAGACTATAATTCTTATAAATGATAAAGATAACAAAAACAAGAAATGATATTCAGAGTCAGACCAGTGGTCCACCTAACCCCCTTTCATTGTGTCTGCTAACAAAGAGACTTAGCAGGGTAGCTTATTACTTTCAGAGTTAACTGAGTACCCACGAACACCCATCCATCCTAAGTGCATCATTTAAATTCTCTTCAAAGCAGTTCATATTTTCAACTGGGACCACTATGAAAGAGCACAAGTTCCTAAGTTTTCCAACTGCTTTGTAAGATAGTACTTTTATTTGCACAACAAAGCAAAACAAACTTTATTTTGGCTTTAAAAACCAAAAAAGTAGTTCAAGTAATTCTAGTACTGTAAATTAAAATTAGAGTCAAACTAGCCAAATCTCTTTGATGTTAAGTGTGTATTATAAACCTAACCCTACTCATTTTTTTTAATAAAGAAATGTTCTCAAATTTTATTCTAACTTTTCACTAGGAAGGCCATTCACTGTTCAATTATTGCAACTGCCCAACTACATTTAATTCTCAACATAGCAGTTGAAAGTATATTTTTAAACATGAAGAGGGAAAATGTTAGTCTTCTGATCAAAACCCTCTAGTGCAGCGGTTCTTAACCTGTGGGTCGCGACCCCTTTGGGGGTCAAACGACCCTTTCACAGGGGTCGTCTAAGACCATCCTGCATATCAGATATTTACATTACGATTCATAACAGTAGCAACATTACAGTTATGAAATAGCAACGAAAATAATTTTATGGCTGGGTCACAACATGAGGAACTGTATTTAAAGGGCCAGAAGGTTGAGAACCACTGCTCTAGTGGCTTCTCACCAGCCAAAATAAGCCAAATACTTATAACATATTACCTGGTATGACAATCTCTCATAACCTACACCTTATCTCCTACTACTCCCCTTGGCTCACTCACTTCAGCCACTCAAGCCTCTTTGCCATTTCCTCCACATGCACAGTCCCAACTCTTTGCCTGGAACCCTCTTTCCACTGATTCTCATGTGACTTATTCTCTCTTCACCTTTGGCTCTTTGCTCAAATGGCCATTCTGGCCAACCATCTCTACCAGCTTTAGTTTTCCTCCAAAGCGCTTATTACCATGTACTACATATTTTACTTATTTTTTTTCACATTTTACTTATTTATTGTCTTACTTTACTGTAACATGAAGTCCAAGTGAACACATATTTTTGCCTGTTTTACTTACTTTTGTTCCCCAGTGCCTAGAATAGGTCCTGAACTGCCCCCACTTTGGGGCTATTCTCATTTTGTATTTAAAATATACTAATCAGAATTATATTGGGCATTCCTACAATCACACTATAGTTTTAAACCATAATAGCTTCATATTTTAGTTGGGTAAATGGTTAATACCTCCCCTCAAAAGGCTGTTGTGGGATAATGAAGAATGTATATGAAAGTAATATGTAGGATATGAAACAATACATAAATGTAACAGAGAAAACTTGTTAATTTAGGGTTAAAAAATAATCCTACCTTTCTGAACAGAATCTAAGACATATATGATCAAGTTTAACTTTTTTTTTAATCATCACATGAGGATATGGTTTTCTTTATTTTTTTTTTAATTTAGAGAAACATCGATGTGAGAGAGAAACACCGATCAGTTATCTCCTATACTTGCCCTGACTAGGGATGGAACCTGCAAACTGGGTGCCCTGACTGGGAATCAAACCCACAACCTTTCCAACTGAGCCACCTGGCCAGGAACGATGGAGTTTAACTTTTCATTTTATCATAGACCCAAAAGAAACTTGAAACTTACCTACTAACAGCATGTTCAACATTCACGATGGCTGAGGTCATTATTTCTGTAGTAAGGCTTTCAGCAAAGCTAACACCATCTTGTCCAATTCCACTATCAGCTGCCAAACTGGTATTGCTCAGCTCTCTCTCTGCTTTTTCAATAGCTTCAGCAACTATCTTCTCAGCAAGCACTGTCTTCTTATCAAGATCAACATGAATTTGAGGGACATCAAGGTGAAAAATTCTAGATTTCTGATAAATGTTGCTAAATTTTGAATTAGAACCTGGCTTACTATGAGCAAGTGAATCCTGTCTGAAAGAATATTGAGGTGAGTTTCCATTGCAGTCATGGAGTTCTTTCTCATCACAGTATCTGCAAGCTTGACTTACAAGAGGTGACAACTTTTCTGCATAAGTGATCCTATCTGCTGCTTTTGCTGTCTCAGACACTTGGAAAACTGCAGATCCTAAACTGAGTTCTAAAGTGTCATCAGCTACTTTTTTAGCATACTGTTCTATAGCTTGAACAACATTCACTTCATATCCATACCCATTTAAGCTGCCTGCACTGTGGTAAAATCTGTGATTTTGTGGGGAAGGTTGAAGAGACTTAGGAAATTCTGGCTCAATGTGAGACTCATTATCTTCATCACATCCAGACTTTTCATAAAGGCAAGAATCTGTTGAGGATTTTGGCAAGCCAATTGCAGACACTGTAAGCTCTTTTTTAACATCTCTGGTTATGCTGTGAGCAAGAGAGGTTGAAAAACTATACAGTTCAGAGCATTTACTTCTGTATGTATTCCCTGTCCATTCACAAGTTTGATTTTTACAGAGGTAACCTTCATTTCTTTTACTTTGTCTTTTTTTATCTACTTCTTGGTGGTGTTTATTTAAGAACATTAAGAGTTCATTGTTGGCTTTCACCTGTGAGTTTTGCAAGGGAAACATTTTTGAGTTACACTTCATCGTTGCTCCCTTAGCTGCTTCTTTCAATCCTGATTTGATAGATCGATAAGCAAGTCTATTGGCATACTGGTCCATTATTAACTCACTATTACCACCTTCCTGTTTTAGTATTTGGATAATGTGACCTGCATATTCATCTGTCACACTTTCACAGCTGGGATACTTATATGACAGACCTGACATACAAGAACTTGGTGGTAATGAAAGAATAAACGGGTCAACTTCTCTTGGATGTGCTACAGTCTCTATATTCAACTTTTCTTCTGATCTATGAGGTTGGTCACCATCACTATAACTATTCTTCTTCTGCCTGCAAAGCATACAACTTCTGACTTTTGCTATTTTCTCAGCTTCTGTAATGACTTCTGCTGCCATATCACCTGCAAAATTGCATAATGCTTGTAAATTTTCATCTGTGTGATTTAACAAAGTAGGTGATACACTTCTTTGACTCTGCACATTTAAGCAAGGGCTTTTAATCTTGGGTTCTTGTATTATTTTATTATCTAAATGGGAAGCTGCCATTTCAGTTGCAAGAGAAACGATGTGTGAAGCTAATGCTTCAGCAAATTGAGTTTTCTTCTCTGAGTGCTCTGCCTTCACATCCACTTCTGGATGCTCTTCACCTTCACTACTTTCAACTTCTTCTGAAAGAGATCGCATGAGTTTCAACATGAACTCCTCTTTTTCAATAGTATTTTGTTCATTTTCAGACAAACTACCAACAGATGAGTAGTGAGGTGTAGAAGGTGGTGTAGCAGGTGCAAATTCTTTTGCTAATTCCCCTTTAAGCTTTTTGGTTAACTTCTTGATATCCCATTCAGAACTAGCCTGGGATGGTACTAGAGGAGTTGATGGAGGAGTATCAGGTATTACATTTCCATCTCTGATTTTCTGTTTATCTTCCACATGCAAACCATCTACACATGTAAGTACTGCAGATGAGAAAGTATGTGAATGGGGATAAGGATTTTCTTGCCCAAAAGACAAGGGCACCTGTGCCATATTATTCAAATTATACTTTTTCACTGATTTGTCCTTAGCAGCTTCCTTCAACTCAGGTTTCTGACCTGCCATAGTTGAACAACATGGTAGTGGCTCTAAAGAAAATCCATGAGCTACAGAATCTTTACATTCTGGAACACAATCCTTTCCCACTAAAAGTGAACAGTGAGTTAAGTGATCTTGAGCATCAAGAGATCTGGGAAACTTTTCCCATATCAACCGTGACTCTTCTTCAGCAACAGGCAAGCCTTCCCTGTTTACCATATTTTTATCCACATTGGAGATCACTGATTTGCTTTTCTCTACGGAATGTTTAATAACAGATTTATATAATCGATCAACAAACATGTCCTTATTGCTAGCTTCATTCTGTTGCAGGGTCACTTGATCATAGTGGAAAGGAGGGTTTTTTCCCTTTACTGTTTTAGTTAAACAATCTGTGTGTTCATCAACTGTTTTTGTAACTTTGAATGATGTCACTGACTCTAAAGTTTCATTTACTATAGAATGCACCAGTGCTGTAGAAAAGTTGCTAATAATCACAGGATCACTTGGTAATTCTGAAGAGCTTTGCATTTCAACATCATCATTAGTTGGTTTAAAATCATTCTGGTTACCTAGACTGTGTTCTGAAGATAAACAAATATTTCTGAGACAAGCTACTTCCTCTTCGTTTTTTGTGGAAACACCTGCTTCAGTAGAATCACCATTCAAATTACTATCACCAGATGACAGATGAGTCTTTGCCTGATATATATTAGATGAAAAGTGATATGGGAGAAGGGCACTTCCAGCCAGGGGCACTGGTATAGAAGTAACAATTCCAGAAGTACAAAATAAGGCCTGCTGTACAGTGTATTTATATTCTGGCATTGGTTTTGTCACAATTGCTTGACTATTAAAAATGGGACATGTGGAAGTCTGTGTCCATGGCACAATATTTTCTGCACTCACATACTTTATGTTATCTGTAGAAACACTAACTGCTGCCTTTGTTGTAAAGATCACATCAACTTGTGATAGCTCAATGAATGCTTCCTGCATTACAGATTCAGACAAATCTTTTGCATATGACTTCACTACTTTGTCTTCATAGTCAAATGAATACTTTGGAGATGCAGGTGTTGGAGGAGATGAAAACTGACACACTTCCATGATACCTTCAAAAATAAGCTCTTCAGCAAGATCTGCAGCAAACCCAGCAACTATGTTTGTAAATATCTGCTTCTTTACATACTGTAAATCTTTTAAAGCATTTGATAAAGCTTCACTCACCAAAAAATTAGCCAGACCACTAATAGCACGCTCTTTCAGTGAAAATGCATGCTGCCTTCTCAGTTCATTAAATGCCATCTGAAAAATGGATGACGTTAATTTGACGGCTAAATGGCACAATGCATTGGTACATGAAGAGACTCCTTTCTGCAAGTCTTTAAATGCACTGCCAAAACTTTTTTCCACAAGATCTGCTGCAAATTTTTGAATGCTATCTCTAATCATTAAGGGTTTATTTTTAGATTTATTTTGATCAAGGTTTCCACTCTTTAGAGCAATGGTTTCATTTTCTCCCTTTTTAACACTATTAATGTTTGATATTGCATTAGTATGTTGAGTATGAAGGACCGAGCCCAGTACTTCACATGTAATTCTATTGGCATAATCTTCATAGGTGTAATAAATAGAATCATGATCTTCATGAATCCTATCTCCACCAATATCTGTTTGGCAAAAACATTCAGCAGGTGTACAGCTTCCAAGAGGACTAAAAGCAGAGGACCGAATGGGGCTAAACAAGCCACTGTCTTCCCCAGATGCCTTCACTGGGCGAGGAGAATCTGGAGCATCACACAGGTTGCTGTAAGGGGATTCTGGTTTACGAGGTGTTGGCTTTCGAACATTAGCTGGGAGAGCTGGACAATCAAACTTGAATTTTTGAGGATTCATAGTAGTGGTTACAGAAGATTTGTCATGTTTGTGCCCTTTCTTTTGCGATGTCTTCCCTTTTACAGAGTCTTTTAGAAATGGACAAGAAGTCTCTAAAGTTTGTTCTAGTTCATCAAACTGATCAAAACTATCAAAAAATTCACTTACTTCTGAGTCTGAGTCCTCTATATCATCTTTCATTACAGGAATTTTTGGTAACTCAAGTTTTGCTTTTAAACTTTTTTGATATCCTTCTTCATCTAAGAAAATAACCGGACTTGGACTTGAGCATTCTGATTCAGATGAATAGGCAGGAGAAGAAGAAAAAAACGTTTTCTGCATGTCACTACCTTTATCTGAAGCATTAGATGACCTATAGAAACTCCTTTGGATCCAAGGCTCAGAAATTGATGTTGTGACTGAACTTTTCACAGGTTGTTCTTTATGTCCCAGAATGTTTATTAAGGAAGTTGAAGGTTTCGTCAATGACTTCTGCCGCCCAGAGCTAACCAGAATCCTTAAATCATGGGTTTCTAACTGGTGACCAGCAGTAGTCTGTGAAGCAGCATCACAGTGGCTCTTTAGTGCAGTAATGTTTACTCCTATAGCAAAAGAATAAAATGATCAGCTTATTCTTGAACAGAATTTTTTTAAAATTTAAATCAATGGGAATAGACTTTCAGCATAAAATATTTATTTGTAACATGTCTCTTCTAAATTATGTTAACATATTCATCCCAAATCATTCTCAAAATCAAATATATCTTTTACTAAAATAATTTAATTTTACCCCATACTTGAGAATACATAGAATGCTGTCACATGTGTTAGAAACACGAATACAGTGACTCTGCCAGTTAACTCCTCTCAAGTTTGACCCTAGGCATGTTCCAAACACTTAATATGGTAAACAGTACTAACAAAATAAGAACAGAAATAGCAAAACTAACCAGATAACAATGGCCCAGCCAGGGTGGCTCAGTAGTTTAGCATTGACCTATGAACCAGGAGGTCACGGTTCTTTTGCTGCAAATTTTTGAATGCTATCTCTAATCATTAAGGGTTTATTTTTAGATTTATTTTGATCAAGGTTTCCACTCTTTAGAGCAATGGTTTCATTTTCTCCCTTTTTAACACTATTAATGTTTGATATTGCATTAGTATGTTGAGTATGAAGGACCGAGCCCAGTACTTCACATGTAATTCTATTGGCATAATCTTCATAGGTGTAATAAATAGAATCATGATCTTCATGAATCCTATCTCCACCAATATCTGTTTGGCAAAAACATTCAGCAGGTGTACAGCTTCCAAGAGGACTAAAAGCAGAGGACCGAATGGGGCTAAACAAGCCACTGTCTTCCCCAGATGCCTTCACTGGGCGAGGAGAATCTGGAGCATCACACAGGTTGCTGTAAGGGGATTCTGGTTTACGAGGTGTTGGCTTTCGAACATTAGCTGGGAGAGCTGGACAATCAAACTTGAATTTTTGAGGATTCATAGTAGTGGTTACAGAAGATTTGTCATGTTTGTGCCCTTTCTTTTGCGATGTCTTCCCTTTTACAGAGTCTTTTAGAAATGGACAAGAAGTCTCTAAAGTTTGTTCTAGTTCATCAAACTGATCAAAACTATCAAAAAATTCACTTACTTCTGAGTCTGAGTCCTCTATATCATCTTTCATTACAGGAATTTTTGGTAACTCAAGTTTTGCTTTTAAACTTTTTTGATATCCTTCTTCATCTAAGAAAATAACCGGACTTGGACTTGAGCATTCTGATTCAGATGAATAGGCAGGAGAAGAAGAAAAAAACGTTTTCTGCATGTCACTACCTTTATCTGAAGCATTAGATGACCTATAGAAACTCCTTTGGATCCAAGGCTCAGAAATTGATGTTGTGACTGAACTTTTCACAGGTTGTTCTTTATGTCCCAGAATGTTTATTAAGGAAGTTGAAGGTTTCGTCAATGACTTCTGCCGCCCAGAGCTAACCAGAATCCTTAAATCATGGGTTTCTAACTGGTGACCAGCAGTAGTCTGTGAAGCAGCATCACAGTGGCTCTTTAGTGCAGTAATGTTTACTCCTATAGCAAAAGAATAAAATGATCAGCTTATTCTTGAACAGAATTTTTTTAAAATTTAAATCAATGGGAATAGACTTTCAGCATAAAATATTTATTTGTAACATGTCTCTTCTAAATTATGTTAACATATTCATCCCAAATCATTCTCAAAATCAAATATATCTTTTACTAAAATAATTTAATTTTACCCCATACTTGAGAATACATAGAATGCTGTCACATGTGTTAGAAACACGAATACAGTGACTCTGCCAGTTAACTCCTCTCAAGTTTGACCCTAGGCATGTTCCAAACACTTAATATGGTAAACAGTACTAACAAAATAAGAACAGAAATAGCAAAACTAACCAGATAACAATGGCCCAGCCAGGGTGGCTCAGTAGTTTAGCATTGACCTATGAACCAGGAGGTCACGGTTCTATTCCCGGTCAGCACACATGCCGGGGTTAAGGGCTCGAGCCCCAGTGTGGGCATTCAGGAAGCAGCCAATCAATGATTCTCTCTCATCATTGATGTTTCTATCTCTCCCCCTCTCCCTTTCTCTCTGAAATCAATAAAAATAAAAACCAGATAGCTATGAACTTAAAAAATCTCAAGAAAAGTAATTCCTCAGACAATCAGAAAAAAAGGTTAAAAAGAATTGAGTAACTTGGCTTTAAAGCCTTTAAAACTGAACTTTAAACTTTAATCCTCTTCAGTGGTTCTCAAACTTCCTAATGCCGCGACCCTTTAATACAGTTCCTCATGTTGTGGTGACCCCCAATTTCATTGTTACAAATTGAACATAATTAAAGCATAGTGATTAATCACAAAAACAATATGTAATTATTTATGTGTTTTCTGATGGTCTTAGGCGACCCCTGTGAAAGGGTCATTCGACCCCCAAAGAGGTCTCGACCCACAGGTTGAGAACCGCTGCTCTATATCAAGAAGTTTAATAAAGACAAACCATCATTATATGGCTTTAAGGTCTCTTCTTCCTCTAAGTGCTCAAACGCAGTGACAAAATCATCCTCTATAGAAGACACTGACTGGTTAGTATCATCATCATCTTCATTAGTGGTCTCCAGTTGGCGTTTCTGATGAAAGTATGTATCCAGGGTGTATCTTATACCAGTAGCATATTTACTTAGGAGACTAAAGATAAAATCAATTCTGAGTCTTGGTACTGTAGGTGGTAACACTCTCATGACACAAAGCATTCCAGAATGACGACTCTTGGGAAAGATGATAAAAATATTTTAATATCAAAACATATTATACATACAAAACATATTAACTGGAAGTGAAGCCTAGAAATAACATAATCTCATGGGGGAAAATAAAAAAGAAAAATACATGCATCCTGAAATGCAGCCTGATTTTGTAATGTTTAATTCTTTTCTTTATTCTTTCTCCACATTTCTCACTCCCCAATCTTTTTCTCCCAGCTTTCTCTTAACCAGGTATTGAAATTCTACCTACATTATCTTCTTAAATGTTATAGAACTTACTATCCATTCATGTAGCAATAATGTTTTCCTGTACTATTGTACAGCCCTGTGATTTTTCTTATTTAATCATTCACCTAACTTACCAACTACCCTGCAAACTGCTTGAAGGCAGGAGCCAGGTACTATTCTATTTTTGTATTCCATTTTCCTGTAGCGTTCAGCATGATTTCAAAGCTTCATGAGTTAGATTTCTCATGAATCATACTTCCTCAAATATGGTTTCTTTTTTAAAAAAAACAAAAAACTTCACCGAAGCATTTAAAAATTTAATAGTCTTAATCAAATGTCATTGTAAAATCTGCCCTTAAAAACTCATTAGAAATTATATATAAAAGTTACCTGATTTAGAGGACCACTGTTTATATTTGGTGATTTATTTATATCCTTCATACAAATAATTTCATTTTCATTTAGACTACAGAAGTGTAGTGAATTCAGAAGATCTGGAAGTTCCAAAGAAACAGCAGCTAAATCCTAATTTAAAGCAATAAAACTTTGTTAAGATTCCTATAATGAGGGTCCTATCTAAAAATCTTAAGGTCTACTGGTTAATAAATTTCCCAGTTCATAATAGTTAACATATGCTTATCAACCACAACCAATTTTTTTAAAACTCAAAAATGAAGTGTACTAAAATATTTCAATACCTGCCATTTCTGTACCCTTTTAAATGTATTAATACGAAGCAACAAAAAATTTTACATGGTACCTCACACATCCATGAGGGTTAATAGTTTTTAGAGGCAAATGTCAACCTGCAGTCCTCAGGTTTAACTGTGAAATTTTTCATACAGGATTCTTGCCTACAGATTTGCAGTTTAAGTTTTATATTCATAAAATACAAGTCTATTTTTCTGCTTTTTCTCTCTGAAGTATTATATTAAACTTTGATAATTTAATAAAGATGTAAAGAAAAAAGCTTTTTTCTCTCATTTGTCCTTTTTATGTAAATACTAGAGGCCCGGTGCATGCCTGGCCTGTGTTTGGGTCTGATTGGAGCCGGCTGGGGGAGGGACTGCAGGAGGTTGGCCGGCAGTGGGAGGTTGGCTATGGGAGTGCACTTATGACCAGGGGGCAGCTCCTGCGTTGAGCGTCTGCACCCAATGGTCAGTGCACGTCACAGCTACCAGCCGGTCGTCTGGTCGACTGGTCATAAAGGTTGCTTAGGCTTTTATTTATATAAATTTTACCCAGTTAAGGTATTTTAACATCCTTGACCTCTCAGAGTACTTTCCTTTCTAATTACGGTTTTACCAGTAACTCTTAAAGAGGAAGTAGAACAAGAGAGAAATACTTTGGAACACTTCTGCTTTCAGCCTCACATTCTCAGGAGTATGTCCTCTCTTGCACCTACTGCCTAAACTTTTTCCTTCAGGTAAGGGTACAATCAAGACACACAAGAGTTTTCATTATCACTTTCTATGCATTGTTCACAAAGAATTGAATAGTATTACTTCTTCTTCTATTGGGAGACTTTTACTGCCACAAAAGGAAACATATGGCAATCACAAACCTTAAGATACTGCATGAGGTAAAACACAGTATGCCTACCACACCTACTGGAGCTTCAACCACCCTTTATGTAACTGTATAGCTTTCCTTTGCTGATCCTGATCTCAACTGTCAGTCCCTCTTAAATTCCTGTGTAAATCAAACAGGCTAAAAGTTTTGCATTGGCTAATATTACTTTTTATAAATTTTACCTTTTAAATTTAATTCTATCTCATTTATTTTACCATTTAAATTTCATTCTATCTCATTTGAAAATATAAGAATCTGACTGTTGAGGTCAGATTATAAAAACCATCCAAATTAAAAACAAGGCTTACATTCTACCCCAGGAGAAAAAGTTCAGCCTACAGTTTCAGCTTCCTTAAGATAATTGACGTTTGTGGTTTCCTAACCTAAAAATGCTTTCTATACCAAGAATACTCAGTGAAAATGCAAAAAGTGAAAATGTCCAAAGCACACTCAAAAGTTGATCTCAAAATGTCACCTTTTAACTTTAAACAGAAATGATAACAGAAAATTTTTAGTCTTTAAGTTTTTGGTTAATAAGGCAAATTTTACGTGTCTCAAAATTTGTTCCAAATAATCTCTCCTGGTCCTTCCCAGTTTAATAAATCATCCATACCTGTATATGAGCAGCATCTGTTTCTTCATTAAAACCTAGAAATGTGACCTGAATAAAAATAAATAAATAAAGCTCTATTAGTTCAAATTTTAACATTTTATCTCAATTAGATTACTGACAGCTGAGAAACAGAAAAAAACGCATAAAGAATTAAAATACTGTCATATATAAATATCAAATCATTATGTTGTATATCTGAAGCTAATATGGTGTTTTATGTCAATTAGACCTCAAAATAAATAAATAAAAATGCTATCTTGGACAGAATGATTAATTTTTTCAAAGATGATGACGAGGCTTTCCACCAAAGATTTGGCTTTTTGGTGCAGTTCTTCAACTTCATTAGCAAGTTCGATCAATTCTACTCCCCAAACATATCTCACATACATCTACTTCTCTCCATTCCCGCTACCACCACTTCTCATCTGCACTACTACAATCCTATTCCACCTGATCCCAGTAATTATCATGTCACCTGCCTTTCAAAAGCCTTCCATGCTTCCCAGTGCAGTTCTAACAGACCCCAAGGCTCTGGGTTAGCTGGCTTCAGTCTTCCCTCACTTTCATTTATACACATTGGCTCACTTCAGGGCCTAGAATATGCCCAGTATGTACTTGCCTAAGGGCTTCACAGTAGCGCCCCCTCAACCTGGATCTCTCCTTGGATGTTCCCATGCCTAGTTCTACCTCATCCTTCAAGATCCAACTTAAATGTTACCTCCTCGGAGAGGAGGCCCTCAAGGTTACCTCCTTATTGACTCCCTGTGATATCATCACTTATTTCCATCAATGCCCTTATATAGAGATTTCTCTGTAGAAGTTTATATAAGTTAAATTTCTAAAGAATATGAAATATGAGGACATGTGACATTACATAAAAAAGACAAGTTACACAAAAATGATAAAGAGTATGCCAACAATTTCAACAATATTTTTTAAAACATACGCATGGGAAAAACCCAGGAAAGCAGTACATCAAACTACAACAGTGATTAACTCAAGATAATGGAATTATAAGTGATCATTTTTTCTCTTTTTTTATTGATTTCAGAAAAGAAGGGAGAGCGAGAGGGACAGAAACATCAATGATGAGAGAGAATCATTGATTGGCTGCCTCCTGAAAGCTCCACAATGGAGATCAAGCCCACAACCCAGGCATGTGCCCTGACCGGGAATCGAACCTATGACCTCCCGGTTCATGGGCCAAAACTCAACCAATGAGCCACACCAGCCAGGTCTTTTTCTACTTTTATCACTGTGGGTTTTTTCCCTCCTTCATAAGATTAATGATAGTCATTTTTTTCTTTCATGCTTTCTATAAGGAAATATGTACTGCTTTTATAATCTGAAAAAAAGTATTATTTTAAAAGTTTATATTCTCAGCCCTAGCCAGTTTGGCTTAGTGGATAGAGCATTGGCCTGCAGACCGAAGGGTTCCAGGTTCGATTCCAGTCAAGGGTATGTACCTCGGTTGCAGGCTCCTCCCCGGCCCTGGCCTTGGTCGGGGCTCACGCAGGAGGCAACCTATCAAGATGTTTCACTCACATTGGTGTTTCTCTCTGTCCTTCCCTCTCTCTTCTACTCTTTAAAAACCAACGGAAAAATATCCTTGGGTGAGAATTAAAAATAATAAAAATAAAGTTTATATTCCCTTTGTCTTTGACATCATTAGAAGAAATATTTTTCACTTGAAGATAGAATAGTAAACTGTCTGCTAAGCAAGCACTGTGACTAAAAGTATGAAATACTTAAATAATAGCAATATGGATAATCTAGGAATTAAGGGAAAATATCATAGTTAAAATACAAAGCAACACGATATACTTTTGATCTCTTTCTGATGATTCAGAAGCAAGTCAGAAATTAGCTCAGGATATTTATTCTGACTTATTAGGGTTGTTATTTCACAGAATTGTTATAGTTAATTTCTACAGGTCTAGGTAGGTTGTTAACCTATAGTAGCTTGTCTCCGCATCTATAAAACTTAAGGCAATACAACTTCTCCTCCACAGTTGTGAGGGTTAATCAGATAATGTAGAGGAAAGTGCCTAGTATATTACAGGCACCCAATAACAAAGAGACATTCAATTAAATTCCTTTCCTTTCTTTGAAAAGATACTTTGGGATATGTACACTCTAAAGTGAGAAATTCCTTCTATTCTTTCAAATTTCCTTTTACTGAATACAAAAGAGAAAATAAGCTGACTTGGGGTATTAAAAATGCCACTTGAGTCTTGCATATCCCATTGATTGAAGAAGACCTTGCCAAGGAATGTGGGCTCGGAAAGGCACTACATAAGGAGCTGGAGAGATACAGGCTGGAAAACTGTTTGAGGGCAGAAGGACACAGGAGACTTGTCACATAGCAACAACCAAGGAGATTAAGAGTGGCTCAGCTTGATGAAAATAAAGTAAAAAGGGAAAATAAGATAATAGTCAAGAGCCATAGAAATTGAGCTGATACAAAAAGAAGAGGCTCTGGTCAGAGAACACTATAGGCCTGAAAGGTGTGCTCATCATCCTATGGAACTACTTCAATATAGTTTCTCAAGAAATAGGAAAGAAAATCATTCCCAAACATAAGAATAATCAAGATTCTATTAGAACACTAATTTCAAAAAAATTTGTATTAACAACCTAACAACTCAGATCTTATTTTTCAGATTCAATGAGCTCATATCCTCTTTCATTTGATATCATAAATGTGTTAATGGACTATGATTATATTGAAGAATAAAATTTATTCCTTTTTTTTAAGCTTTTTGTTTTTGTAATATATTTTTATTGATTTCAGAGAGGAAGGGAAAGGGAGAGAGAGATAGAAACATCAATGATGAGATGCACACCCCCTACAGGGGATCAAGCCTGCAACCCTGGCATGTGCCCTTGGTCGAAATCAAGCCCAGGACCCTTCAGTCCGCAGGCCGACGCTCTATCCACTGAGCCAAACCGGCTAGGGCTGTCATTCCTTTTTATTAGTAATAAATTCAAACAAAGATAGGAAACACTAATGTTGCAGTGAAACAGGTGAGCAAATGATATATCTTATCTTCAAGTAGTAAATATCTTAATTTCAAAATAAATTTAGCACTACTTTTTCATTTTGACTCAAGGTACTGAATTTAAACAACCAAGAAAACTAACAATAACCAAAAAAACAATTACAAAAAAATAAGGATATATTTCATGTTTCACAGTAGAAAATTTCAGTATTAAAGTACCAATTACTGAATCGAGTAGGAATCATCTGATACAGCACCATCTGTCTGATGAGTGGGCAATAATGCCTGTGCACTGAATTAAACGACAATTATATTAGTGGGTATTTAAAACAGGTACTTCTCATACATGTATTAACGTGTAAACATTTTAGGCATTTTAAAAGTAGGAACGCAGTTCTACAGAAATGCATGAACATACATTTTGCTTTATTAGGAAAGGATATAGAGCAGCGGTTCTCAACCTGTGGGTCACGACCCCTTTGGGGGTCAAACGACCCTTTCACAGGGGTCGCCTAAGACCATCAGAAAACACATAAATAATTACATATTGTTTTTGTGATTAATCACTATGCTTTAATTATGTTCAATTTGTAATAATGAAAATATATCCTGCATATCAGGTATTTACATTACGATTCATAACAGTAGCAAAATTACAGTTATGAAGTAGCAATGAAAATAATTTTATGGTTGGGGGTCACAACATGAGGAACTGTATTAAAGGGTCGCGGCATTAGGAAGGTTGAGAACCACTGGTATAGAGAGTAATATGTCAAACCTCAGTCAAACTGGCATGTTCATCTTGCTTTAAATAGTCCTCTGCTGATACACTACACAGTTCCTTCTCACTCCGTAATAAAGACTTTACCGACTGGAAAACATCTTCACTGAAGCTCTGAAAACAAAAGATATTCTTAAGACAAGATTGATTCTAAGACAAGATCGAAGATCCAAGAGATATTCTAGTTTTAAATGGAGAGTAACTCCAATTAATATTCATTTGGCATATTATATACCTTTTGATAAATACAGAACTCAATTCAGCTAAGAGAAAAAACAGAACAAAATGCTTAAACAGAGTTCCACATGCTCAAAACACACACACCATAACCCAGACATTCAACCTACTGAAAGACCACGGGGCCCTTACACCTGGTTCACTTACTCTTACCTTACATTAAAACCTAACAGACTGCATACTTGATATCTAAGTCATTGGCAAAACAGAAGCAATAATTTATATAAGGAGTGAGACACTGTGGAAGCTACAATAAGGAATGCTAACAATAGTGATTACTCTCATAACTAAGTTGGTTATGGCGGGGAAAAAGGCTTAATAACCACAAATAAGGTTTTCAGGGACCTTAAGGCAGCTATATGATGAAGGTGAGGAAAGGCATTCCAGATTTGGCAGGAGAGGATGTCACAAGTACTAAGTACTAGAAGAAGGAAAAAGTTACATAAAGAAAATAATAAGTATTATAATTAGACATAAATAGACTTAATTTCCTTCTAACTTACTCTCCTGCTGATCTGTTGATCTGCTTTTCTATCAGAAATATCCTTATTCCCCAATCTTCCAAGACATGTGAAGATGTTCCCATCCCTTGGTCATAATAAATCTCAAAGTTCCTATGTTAATGATCTATATCACAATATATTATAATTCCTCTTTTCATTATATATTTGTCTTTCCTACCTATTAAACCAAATTACTGAGGCCAGAGACTGTAAAATTGTATTTAACTCAATGTGTTTCCCTACATTTCAATACCACACATACCAAGGATTAGGCAAAAGTAGGTTTAGAGTTGTGAGTACACTAAACTCAGATTTATTCTTTTATTATTTATTATTGTATTATTTTCCATATGAACTATAAACCTACTTTTGCCACACCCTGTATATGAACTCAATAAATGTGTGCTAATTTTAATAAACTGAAAATTAGTGAAAATCTTCAGTTTAAGAGAAGAGATACAAATACGAAATGCTAAGTGAAATAAGCCAGTCAGGGAGATAAATATAACATGATCTCACTCATTTGTGGAATATAACGAACAACATAAATTGATGAACAAAAATAGATCCAGAGACAGAGAAACACAGAATGGACCGTCAAACCTCAGAGGGATGGCAGAGAGATCAACCAAAGGACTTGTATACATGCATATTAGCATAAACAATGGACAAGAACCCTGGGGAGGTGGGGGCTTGTCCTGGGGGGTTGGAGTGGCCACAGGGGGGTCGATGGGGGAAAAAGGAGACATATGTAATACTTTAAACCAGCAGTTGCCAACCTTTCAGACCTCACAGACCACCAGTGAAACAAAACAAAAAAACAAAAAGAAATAATGTAGTTAAATTTGAATGTGAACTATCAATATGAACTCAAGATTCTTTAAGTATATGTATTACATTTTTCCACTGAAAAATCATAGAAGCAATGACCCTCAGTAACAATGAGCATTTCCAGCACCTAGATTTTGGTTTCTAAATACCATGTACCAATAAAAAGAACTAGAGCTCCTTGGGAAAATGGTTAATTCTAGGTCAGAAATAGAAAAAATATGAAGTGTGGCTGCAACTTCTTATTGACAAAATGCAAAGAAGTGCCCAGAGACTAACTAGGTCATTTCAAAAGACATGGAAGCCAACTTGAAGAAATTTCCACTGGCCTAATTTGGGACAATTTGGGTATTAAAAGAATAAAAATGGTAACAGACCATAAAAACTAAGTTTTTTTAAAAAAAACTAAAAAAGAGATATATAAAAGGGTAGAGTAGGGGAAGAGTCCTTCTTTATATAAGAACTAGAAGCCCAATGCACGAAATTCGTGCAAGAGTAGGCCTCCCTTCCCCCACCTGCTGGCACTGGCTTCCCTCCGGCCGCTGGCAGGCACCGGGACCCAGACTTCCCTCCAGCCACCAGCAGGCACCCGGAACCCAGGCTTCCCTCGCAGCCCTGGCTTTGTCCAGAGGTCATCCGGAAGGATGTCCAGAAGGACGTCCAGTCTAATTAGCATATTATGCTTTTATTAGTATAGATGCTGACTGCCCTAGCTAGTTTGGCTCAGTGGATAGAGTATTGGCCCTCAGACTGAAGGGTCCCAGGTTCCAGGGCATGTATCTCAGATGTAGGCTTGATCCCAGCCTTCCTCAGGGCATGTGCAGGAGGAGGCCAATCGATGTGTCTCTCTCACATTAATGTTTCTCTCTGTCTTTCCCTCTCCCTTCAACTCTCTCTTAAAAAAATCAAAGAAAATGTCCTCCGGTGAGGATTAACAGCAACAACAAAAAAGCTAACAAATACGGACAGAATGACAAAATTAGAAAATCCGATTTGTAACTACCCCTGTAATTACTGATTTAGGAAAGGAACATCAGTGTATCCTAATCTACTGGATTACAAACTACTGGGGAACAGGATACGCACACTGTCTCATAGAATCACTCTATAGATGACTTATTAATTACAAAGGTATTATGTGCAGGAGGCCGCCCATTGTCTTCACTAGCAGAGAAGTGCAAACAAGGATCCCGGATCACTGGTGAACCTTGAACCCATGGCAAGGGCCTGAGTTATGCACCGATTGTCTAGTCCTAACAATGGGGACTCAAGCTATTTCCTGATCAAATAGTCTGTCTCAGAGTAAATCCCTCTAATATTTACTGACCTTTAAGATAGTCTGTCTGCTACCGCAATTTCCTGCCTGACTAAGGGCTTTATGTGTAACCAAAGTTGAATAAAAGGCTGGCGAGGCCTGGGCACCGGTGGAAGTCCTTCCCCTTGAGTTGGACTTGCCCGCCTGGCCCCCCAATATTTCCAAATTATCTCTTGTCTCTTCTCTTTCATTTGTGTGCGGCTCCTATTCCAGATCTTGAATCCTGAACCACTCGGGAGAGAAACACAAATACACATCTGGCGCCTCAACAGGACATCTGGAAGAGAAGACTTCGCCTAGAGCAAAAAAACGAAGATTCACCGGCAAGGTAGGAAAGAATTCACACCGTATAGGTGGGCACACCGTATAGGTGGGAAGATATTCACCGAACACAAAGCCCATGATCAGCTGCAGAATTCACAATCTGTAAGTAGGGTGGGAATGTTTCCTTAGCCAGGATAATGGGGCAGGATTCGGCTTAAAAGTAAGAACCTTTATTGTAGATTTTTGATTTGCATGCTTAAGGAATTAAAGTTTCAGAAGGTAATCTCTTACAGTTTTTGCATGTTATTATAGAACATAACCCTTGGTTTCCTGAAGAAGGTACATTAGGTCTTGAATGTTGGTAAAGAGTGGGTCAAAATTTGAAAAAAGCTCAGCAGCAGGGGAAAAACTTGCCTCCAAACTGTTTCTCCTTGTGGAACACGGTATTTCATTTGCCAGAGACTTTTAAAGAGACTAAGGAGGATAAACCTGGCTGAATGCTCAAATAACTTATGAAATGTTAGCAAGGCTGGGACAGTATAATGATGTGCAAAATCAGCTAAATGATGTGCAGAAAGCTTATAAGCAAATTAGACTTTGTGGTAAAGCTTTTCAGTGATAATGTGTTGATGATAAAGGGCCAGTCGCTCTTCTCCCTGTAAAAGCTGGAGAAGCCTGCAGCAGCAACAGGAACCTTCCGTGTTATCTCTAAAGGAAAAAAGTGGAGGTTTTAAAAATCCCATCCCCCTGCCTTCTCGCCAGAAACATAGTTTTCCAAAGCCTTTGGTAACTTAAGACTTTAGAACATTGCTGAATTAAATAATAAAAATTATTAAATATCTAGGTATTTTAAAATGACAAAAATACTGAAATATTAACCTGAGTTTACCTCAAAAAAAAAATCTAGAGGATAGAATTTAATCTGTTAATTGAATATGCCTTGTATTTTATTGGAAATACATCCTTAAAATATAAATGTATTACTAATTTGAGAAATGCTAAGTATTTAACTTGCTACCCGAAATTTGAAGCTTCTAAGAATTCAAATTAAATTGGGAGAAATTATAAAGTTATGGTAACTAAATGCCTAAAGTATAGAAATTTATTTTTGAGAAATAATTTTTGTGTTTTCTCTGAAATAATTAGGAATTCAAAATATGTTACTTATTGGTCTAATTAAAAAGGAGGATTAATTCTGTGATTCCCAACCGAAATTTTTTAATACAAAAACCAGTTTAAATTTCATTAATATCTTTTAATAATTAGAAAAAGTATATAATCTTTTTTTGTGTATGTGTGTGTTTATTACAAACTGTTTAATTGCTTCTTATCCTAATGACTTTACAAATATAGAAGAAGTATATGCCAGTCTGGGGATGCTCTGTAGTGAATCACCCCTGTGAGGCACAGCTTAATGCCGCTATTATCCATCTGGGAGCAGTCTCAGTGAGGGCCTCAGCCACAGGGAAAGAGGGTCAGGAGGAAGGCTGCCTAGTGTGGCCAGGCCACCTGGCTTCAGGTCTGTGCAGGTGCTTCAACTGCATGATGCTCATTCTCTGTCCATTGAGTCTCCATGTACTTTCGCATCTTCTCAACGATCCAGGAGGGTAGGACAAAGGATTTCAGCTCCGCTAACTTCAGGTCCAGGCATCCTCTGTAATCATCGCTGGCAGCGAGGCCCTGGATGTCCTCTTCAATGAGGAGGTAGGCCATCTTCCCTCCTGTTGCCCGCATGTGATGTTGCTCGGCCAGCCAGTGCTTGTCCTGGGGATCAGCTGCGTACTTAAAGAGGTGTGGGTGCTTGATGTAGATTCTCCCTCTGGTGCCCCCCATCCCCAGGGCTTTGTTGGCTCGAGATCCTAACACAAAGGTGATAGATTCATTCAGCCGAGCTGGGTCCCACTTGGGGACTTCTCGGCAAATTGGTTCACAGGATTTCCACACCATGCCAGGGGCTGCCTGGTCATTTGACTGGATGTGTCCAGGAGGCCTTCCCTTCTTCTTTTTGGGAATGGGACTTCCTCGATGGGCACCTTCCTCTTCTGCCTGCCAACCACGCTTTATCCCTGGAAGCTCATGGGTCAATCTGGGTATAACTTTTTCTCCACCTGAGAACAGTAGTTTTGCCTGCGCCAGGCAGCTACAGCAGGCCTCCTGGATCAGCTGCTCTGCATCCACTTCTCCCCAACATTGTCTCACACATTCAGTGCTGCCTTCTGGAAGAACTTCATGTACTTGTTGAACACAGTCTGGATCTCCTCGTTGATGCTAGGCTGCAGCACAGCTCGGAGCAGGTCCATAGAGATAGCAGGATCTGTGAAACTGGTGGTCATCTGTGAGCGGCGGCCCCTTCGCTGCACCTGCCAGTGCTTTATCATTATGTTCCAGGGATTCGTGAGAACCATCTGCCCTGCTGCGCCCACATCTCCCAGCTCCGGGCCTCCCCGCTCTACCCCACCGGGTCCCCGCGGCTGCTCGGCATCGCCAGTGGCCCCCTGGTCCTCACAACTCCAGCCCGACTCTCAAAAGTATATAATCTTTAAATATATACCTGACAGTCTTTCCAGGTTAAATTTCAAGGCTATAACCGAGGGATGATTTCTGGAAAACTCCAAGGGCCCGGAGTGATCCAAAAAAGAATTTGTTCTCTCTTCTTAAAAGAAATATTTTACATTTAGTCAATCTAATATACTTGAAATTACATGGAAAGCTTTAATTAAATAAAAATTAATAACTATATTTTACTTATATACATGTATTTTAAATGTTATGAGGGTTTTGGCCTCTAGGAAGGGCATAAAGAAGTATTTTAAATTTAGTCAATCTAATATACTTAAAATTGTATGGAAAGCTTTAATTAAATAAAAATTAATAACTATATTTTACTTATACATATATTTTAAATGTTATGAAGATTTTGGCCTCTAAGGAGGGCAAAATAAAGTAACGAAATATTTCTTAAAATCCAACAGCAGAATTTTAAGACAGAATTCTAATTGCAGAAGCCTCTAATGGCCTGCATTTTGGGTAGGCTAGAGGTAGGGCAGCATTTGTGCCTTGTGAATCAGAGGTATAAGTTTACTAAATCTACTTGCTTTGCTTTTTTAATAAAGATATCTACTTTAATTACTTTATAAATTAGCTTTTTAAATTATAATCAAGGTTTCATATAATTTCAGCTAAATGAAAAGCCAATATTTTTATAAACAATTAAATTCTAATAAAGCCCTCTGAAAGTTACTGGGACTACCCATGATCCCTCTGTATATACAAATAAGCCCAAGGGGATACTCTTTAAAAATATAATTCTAATATTAATAAAAAGGAGAAATTTAAAAATTTTGAAATCTCTTTCGCTAATATTTACAGGGTAAATTAAAGATTATTATTAAAATATTAAATCTGATCCTTACTAGTAGTCAACATAATGTAATGAGAGTCATTGAAATATAGCTATTCAGCTGCATGACCCTATATCCAAGCAGCAGCCCTGTAAGTTGCTTGGTGTAAAAAAGAAAGAAAAGTGTCTTTTAAAAGAAACTCTCTAAGTGTGTCCTAATAATTGCTCTGGATGGAAATAAAAAGAGGTTTCCTTCAAATACATGAAAGTTTTAATTAAAAGTCAATGCTAGGCTTCATAAGCAAAAGTAAGTAATTTGTGTTTTTGCCTCCCTGAGAAAACTTATGTAAAGTTATTCAAAGGCTAATAGCAGAAATGTAGTTAATGTCATTTACTGTCTATAACCTAGGACCGGTGAAGTTAAAAAATAAACCTTATTTTAGATTAATTTAAATTGGCTAATTGAAATAAATAAATATTCATAAAAACTTTGTTGTACTGGACAGAAAACTGTCCTGAAGCATACTGGGCAGGAAACTGTTCCTGAAGCATTAACTAATTTTTTACTAATGGTTTATCTCATAGTTCAAAAACTGCTTAACGTGCAATGAATCCAAAGTAGTCATATTTCTGTGCATAAAATTAAAATAAAAAGTTATCAAGACTGCATTGCAAAATTTCCAAAAGCCTCTTAATATTATTTAAATAAAAAGAGAAGGGGGATAGTGGAATAATCCCCTGTGAGTAAATTACATCAAGAAAATTTTTTACTTTAAAAATTATTTTTCACTTGTAATGCTGAAGACAAGACACCCATGAAAACACACATGGTGTCAAAATAAGCCAAAGGAAAATGGTTTGGGCACAATGCAAAGAAAGGATCCCAAGTCTAGTTTATAGAAAAGATTCCTTTATTAACTTTTGGTCGAGAATATGTTTGTATATTTCCAGAAAACTCCTCTAAGCCTGTGTGGATTCCTGCAACAATGAATCCGAGAGAGGAACTGACAACACATGAAGACAAGAGGAGAAACAATCCAGAGATGGAAGATGGTGAAGACACCTTGCCATGCTAGCAGTCAGCAGCTGTGCATCACTGTAGGTAGCCCAGGACCAAACCAGAGGTTGGACCTGCATTGCCATCGTTTGCCCACCATCCAGAACTAGAATATAATTGCTGGCATGTACACATAAGAAACTGTTGGACATTGAAATTGGGACTCAAAGAACTGTTGGCCCAGAAAGAAACTTACTACAGACTGATTCCTTGGATACCTGGCAGCAATTTAAAAAGGACATGACATTTGCCTCTCAGCATAACCACTATTGCTTGTCTCATTTTTGTTCTCATATGCTTATTTCTAGTCTGCAGATGCGGAATGAAGAGTCTTAAAAGGACTCGAACCCTTCAGGCAGCATTCACCTTTCAAGAATTACTAAGAAAAAGAAACAGGGGAGATGCAGGAGGCCGCCCATTGTCTCCACTAGCAGAGAAGTGCAAACAAGGACCCCGGATCGCTGGTGAACCTTGAACCCATGGCAAGGGACTGAGTTATGCACTGATTGTCTAGTCCTGACAATGGGGGCTCAAGCTATTTCCTGATCAAATAGTCTCAGAGTAAATCCTTCTAATATTTACTGACCTTTAAGATAGTCTGTCTGCTACCGCAATTGCTTGCCTGACTAAGGGCTTTACGTGTAACCAAAGTTGAATAAAAGGCTGGTGAGGCCTGGGCACCAGTGGAAGTCCTTCCCCTTGAGTTGGACTTGCCCGCCTGGACCCCCAATATTTCCAAATTATCTCTTGTCTCTTCTCTTTCCTTTGTGTGCGGCTCCTATTCCAGATCCTGAACCCTGAACTACACGGGACGTGGGAGAACACATACACAATTATGTGTCTTTATATTGGAGATTATTATAATCTTAATAAGATTATTATAACCTGGTCAAGCTGGCATCAGAGTGGAAAGTCTACATTACCTTTGGGAGGTTCCTGCTAAACCTAATCACAGGGCAAAACAGATGAACTCCAAATATAGAGATGTTCTACAAGACAACTGGTCCAGACTTCCAAAGACCTACTGTCATAAGAAAAGAATCTAGACCATTGAAATGGACTAAACTGGGAGAGACCACAAAGACACAATACCCAAACATACACTATGAACCTTGATTAGATCCTTAAAGACAGGCAAGGGAAAAGTAACAAAGATATTTTGAGATAATTAGAGAAATTTGTGTATAGACTGCATATTACGTGATATTATTGAATTAATGACTGTTGAAGGGTGGTAATGATGCTCATGTTAAGAGATGTATACTGACATATTCAGAAGAGAAGTAAAATAATATCTGCAGCTTACTCTCATATGGTTTCAGAAGGTATGGAGGAGAGACTGTTTCCTGGCATGACCACTACTGGACCCTTGAGTTGTATTATATTAGATCCTGGCTAGAACAGAGATTGTTGCTGTAAATCCAGAAGAGAGATTGCTTCCCATAAATCCCCTCAGAGATATGACTCCATTTCCATGCTGTGCTGGCTCCTGGAACAGGCCATTGCCCTGCCCGGACAAGCATGAAAGGCATTTTCCCTTACTACCTGGGACCAGTCCAGTCCCTCATCCATCCTGCCCTGCTCTACATAATTCTTCAGTGCCTGCCAAGCATCACGGAGATTATCTACTTCCTCTTGCCACGGCACAAGATGAGCCTATGTTTCCTTTAATAAACTCTGTTAATTGCTGGACTAGAGCGACCTACTTCTTTCTTCTGTCTTCCTCTGCCCTCTGCTTACAGAGGTAGATTTTTCAGTCTCTGGGATTTTCCCTGGATCTGCATGTATGAGCAAAATGGAAGTGCATATGGTCCTAAGCAATTTGGCTCAGTGGACAGAGTGTTGGCCTGTGGACCAAAAGGTCCCAGGTTCGATTCTGGTCAAGGGCACGTACCTTGGTTGCAGGCTCCTCCCCAGCCCAGGCCCTGATTGGGGCTCATGCAGTAGGCAACCAATTGATGTGTTTCTCTCTGTCTTTCCCTCTCTCTTCCACTCTGCCAAAAAATCAATGGAAAAATATTCCCGGGTGAGGGTTAAAAAAAAAAGTGCATATGTATGTGTGCATGTGTATGTGTGTGTACAAAGATAGAATGATTATGGTAAAACATTAACAAGGTAAATGTAAGTGAAAAATATATGTGGGGCTCACTGTATTTTTCTTCCCCCAACTTTTCTGTGGGCTTGAAAATATTCAAAATTTTAAATGATTCTGTTTTCATTAATGAGTGGAGGTTTACAGGCTAAGATACTAACATAAACTAAGAAAAATTAAAATGTGAAATCTGAACATGAACTATCAATATAAATTCATGACACTTGAAGAAGCAATAAACATTCCTACTCATAGTTCCCAGATTTTGGTTTCTGAATATTATTCAGAGTTCTTTAGAGGAATAGCCAATTACAGATCTGAGGAAGAGAAAGTGGAAGGTGAAACTGGGATCAATCTGTTGCAGTACAAACAAGGAAGCAATCAAAGAATTATGAGCCTGAGACAAAAGGACATAGAGACTAGCTTGCAGGGGCTCCCAGAGGCCAAGTTTGGGATAGTTTAAGAACTTGAAACAAATAAATGAGTGAATGAATAAGAGACTATAAATAAGTAAACGATTGGAAAATGTAGACTTTTTAAAAAAATCTATGAGTCCAGAGTAATACAAATAAACAAATGAATGAGTGAGGGGAATAAACTCACTTGCCACCACTAGAAGTGACTATTCCACTAAATCATGAATCTGAAAATTGGTAATTAAAGGACATTTACCCTCCCTTTATAGGAGATATCATAGTTCTTCTAAGGTAGATGACAGAAAGCTTTTCTTTAAGAAAAAAAATGTTAGCTAATAAACGTAAAAAAAAAGAAAAAGGAAAATAGAGAAAAATTTAGAAAAATTACCATTTTGCAACTTCTAGGAAATAACAAGTTCAGGAAAGGGTCATTAAGAAATGCCAAAAATATTAGATGAAAGGTTGTTGGGGGAAAAAAAACACAAGATATTTGCACACAACCAAATATCAGCCTATAGATTATTGCTAACTAAAAAATAGAAAATGGACAGCTTTTAAATTCGAGTCAAACAGGTATGTAGTATTATGCTTAAATACTAGGTATACAGAGTTACTACCTTACTCAACTGATCAATTTTTGCATCGCTGATCATAGGAAAACCTGAAATTCTGTCCTCAAATCACCCTATCATGTATTCTTGCCAAAAATGTTTAACCAGAATCTAATTAATCCTTTATACTAAATTCTAGTCTATATGAAATATAGAAGAGAGATACACGAAGTATAAGATCCCATAGTACAAGACCCCACATAGAGACAGTACAATAAGGACAAGGATTCTCTGCATGCCCAGGGAAAGCAGCATTATGACAGGAAGCAGAGTGGCTATGGTGGGCAGACTAAGCCAATTTTCCAGAAAAAGGCTCAAATTGCAAATTGCTGAGGCTTGAATGCATTGAGTCCAACTGTAGATCTAAGAGAATGCTAACCTTAAGACACACAGGCATTTTTGAATTGGGAGAAAGAGAAAAGACCTCTTGATCCAGTTCTAAGCTTCAGCTTTTGTTTTATTCTGAAGACAATAAAATCTTGAGGTTATATTTACTTTTTAAAAATTATTTAAATAGAAAGAGGAGAAACTTTCAGACCAAAAGAAAATAAGTCATAACCATCAAATGCAACTTAAGGCCTAGGAGCTTACACTGAATCCAAAATGGAAGTTAAGGGAGGAATTATAAAAGATATTTTAAGGGTAATAAAGGAAATCTGAGTATGGCTAGTATTAGATATAAGGGAATTATATTTAATTTTCTTAGATGTGATCATGTATTATTGTTATGTGGGAAGATGCTGTTATTCCTGGGAGAAGCATGCTCAAGTGTTCAGGAATGAAGAGACATTAAGACTTTAACTTTCAGCCGAAACCGGTTTGGCTCAGTGGATAGAGCGTCAGCCTGCGGACTGAAAGGTCCCAGGTTCGATTCCGGTCAAGGGCATGTACCTTGGTTGTGGGCACATCCCCAGTGGGAGATGTGCAGGAGATAGCTGATTGGTGTTTCTCTCTCATCGATGTTTCTAACTCTCTATCTCTCTCCCTTCCTCTCTGTGGAAAATCAATAAAATATATTTAAAAAAAAAAAAAGACTTTAACTTTCAAATAGTTCTGCCAAAAAGTAAACACACAAACACATATATACACCAAATAAGACAAAATATTAACAACTGTTGAGTATTGGTATTTGGTATACAGATTTATGTGTTGGTATACTATGCTTTTAACTCCTCAATATGCTTGAAATTTTTCATAATAACATGTTTAAAAAAATAATAGAGTAGAAAGTATAGCTCTTTCTGATCTTCATAATATTTGATTCCTAATAAATATTTAATGTATCTCTATTTTCAATGAAAAGTAAAATGAAATCTAGAGAATTCAAGTACACCTTTCAATTTCCACACTAGCCAATAGGGAAGTTTTGTCATTCAGCCATACCAAAGAAAGACATCAAAAATGGTACAAGTGTATGCATAAACAGTATATAACATTTGAATTCACATACTTTTATCTAAAAGAGTTTCCAAGTATTCAAATGAATTCAAACCAAATTTTTATTTTGTGCCTAATGTGGGTAATGTGCTGAATAACAAAAGATATTAAAATAATAGTATGATGAGGGATTCAGAAGATGGCTGCCGAAGGGAAGGCAGACTGCAAGACAGTGTGAGAGTGAGAGAACGAAAGGAGAGTGTGTGGACGTACTGAGAGTGTAAATTTGTGGGTGAGCGATAGCTATACTCCAGGGGACTGTTGGAGACTGCCGGACAGGGCTCCCCTAACCGGGCAGCCTCCACTGCTGCTGAAATCTCTCCCGGAGCAGCCGGCTCAGCCGTGGAGACCGCGCCATCTTGAGTGACTGACATCGGAAGCGTATACATCCAGAAACCCTGCAACCATGGCACCCAGGGTCCAGCTACGAACGTAGGAACACTGGATCTCAAGCAGCGCGAATACTTGGACTCAGACGAGCCCTGCTCCTCCTCACGGAAAGGTCAGATTTCGCCTAGATAAAGGTGCGGTTTGTAATTCAGGTTGGAGAGAGGAACGCGCGCGGGGGAAGTCTGCGCCACACAAAGTCCGAGGCCCTTGGGGCCAGCATGATCCGCGAGTGTGGAAGGGGTCCCGCAGGGCTGCTGGCAGAAGGGAACACTAAAAATCAACCCATAGCTGGATTGGGTGAAAAAAAGGCAGCCTCGGATTTTGCCAGTTTGCTGGCTGCTTAGAGCCAGGGGAGAGAGGACGCAGAAGAGACTTTGGGAGAATTGCGCACTCTGGCTTTTTTTTTTTTCTCCTTAAATCTTTGCTTTTGATTATTAAACCCAATACATAGGATCGCCCAGTTGGGGTCACTCACAGAGACTGCAGGGGAAAGTTGTTTTTGTGGAACCTGGGAATCAGAGCGGGAAGTAACGA